ACGAGAGAGTCCAGGCTGCTCCCAATTCCACCCCCACCCCAACCCCGGGTTTCCAAGCTCAGGACAGTCTTCTTTTTTCTTTCTTTCTTTTTTTTTTTTTTTTTTTTTAAAGAGAAAATGTTTGCTGGTTTCTGGCAGGGGCAAAGGCAGATTCTGGGTGCAGGCCTTATGCGAGTCTGAGGAACACAGATGTTCAGAATCAAATGCTTTGCAAATCGCCCTCGCCCAAGCACCGAGGGGAAGCACACGGCCATTTACAATCAACCGCCTTTGCCTCCCCAGGGAAGGACAGGCTGGAAAAGTCAGCTTGTGATTACTCAGAGCCAGAAAAGCTGTCTGTGGGCAGCTAGGCCTGGCTGTGTCCTTCCCCCTCCTCCTGGACCATTTCACACCCTAGAACAGTCCGCCTTCAGAGGAAGCAGGGGGAATACAAAAACACTACACATCATAGTAAAAAATAAATAACTGGCACGGACTATTACAAATCTTGATTAAAATGATTTTGAGATTCTCTGTGCCGCCTCTTGTTTTAACAAACATTTGAGAAGAGATCGCTCTATTGGGTACGCATTGTAAAAGTGCATCAGCACATTTACCTGGACTGCCTCACCTGGCAGGGCTGCTGCGCACTGAATGACCTGTTTATCTCTCTCCATCCATCGCTCTCCCCACCCCCAGTGCACTGGCCCCCCTGGCTGGTCCTGAGCCGGGCCAGGCCCCTCTCTCTCTCACCTTAGCACTGGCTGTTCCCACTGCTGGAACGCCCTTCCCGCACAAGGCCCCGAGGCTCGCTCCCTCCAGATGGGCTTTCACAGAAGCAAATAGTAGGTGCTCAAGAAATACTCCATGAGTTAATAATTAAAGCTGACTAACCAATGCGCCTGTGGGAAAATACATGTGCTTTCTTAACTTGAAACATCAGACTTATATCCAAGAGCCTCTCTGGTTAAAAGGTTACTCCCTTCAACAGCTTGAAAAGGCTGGCTCTCTCAACACAAATCAGAGTGCCAAGGGGACACCATGCTGTCCAGACAAGGTCAGAGGCAAACCGTGGTCATGGGAAGGGGCAGGTGTCTGCCTGACAACAGGCCAGCCATCAGACACCTTTGGTGATCTCCCATTTAAACTGCCAAGACGCAGAATGGGATCCAAGGGCGAATCCCAGCTGACATCTCAGCTACGGCTGCCCAGAGGCAACTGAGCCACAAACTGGTCACCAATTCATTGTTTTCTCAATTTTTTTATACAATTTGGAAAGGTTACTTTCCATTTACTGTTATTACCAAATATTGGTTATTTTCCCCGTGTGGTACAATACATCCTTGAGCCTCTCTTACACCCAATACTTCGTAATGGTAACCAGTAGTTTGTTCTCTATATCTGTGAGTCATTTCTTTTATGTTATATTCACTAGTTGATTGTATTTTTTAGATTCCACATATAAGCACTATCATACAGTGTTTGTCTGCCTTATTTCATTTAGCATAATGTCCTCCAAGTCTATCCATGTTGCTGTAAATGGCATTCTTTCATTTTTTATGGCTGAGTAATATTCCAATGTATTTATGTACCACATCTTTATCCATTCATCTGTCAATGAACACTTAGGTTGCTTCCATATCTTGGATATTGTAAATAGTGCTATGAACATTGGGGTCACCAATCTGCTTTAATCACTTAAAGTCAGGAGGGGTGTTGGGCCCTGCAGGCCATAATCAAAAAGCAAAGGAAAGGAAATGCAGACAGCAAAAGACCCTTCCCTAGTGGCTGTGAATTATATACAGTCAGTCCTCATTATTTGTGGATCCCAAATTTGTGAATCTGCCTACTCACTAAAACTGGTTCCAAAATCAATACCGTGCTGCTCTACAGTCATTTGTGGACCCGCACAGAGTGGCAAGAAACTCCAGTAGCCCGACGTGCCTGCTTCCGGGGAGGATGAACAGACGCCCTCCACCCTGGTCCAGCTCTCATGCGGTAAACAAACATCCTTTACACAGTCCATTTAGTGCCACACTTTCTGCACTTCTGTGCTTTGTGTTGGTGATTTGGCTGTTTAAAACAGCCCCCAAGCCTAGTGATGAAGTGCTGGCTAGTGTCCTAAGCCCAGGAAAGCTGTGGTGAGTATTATGGAGAAAACATGTGTTAAATGAGCTTCAATCAGGCTGAGCCATGCTGCTGATGGCCAAGTTCAACCAACAATACACATTAAGTAAGGTGTATTTAAACAGAAACACACATAACACATGGTTACGTACTGATCAGTGGATGAAGCTGTTGGGACCAGAGGCTCACAGGAGCCTAATGAGGCTTGTTTCCGAAAGCGGCTGGTCACAACATCTCCCTTGGGAGCCACGGCTCAGTATTCACTAATTCAAGGTTCACGGCGACCTTAGTGAAAACTACCGCGAATAAGGACAACTGACCATATACTAAGGTGGCTGCTTCCTGACCCGCGTCCTCTGGCATTCCCCCCCGCCCCCCGCCATCATCCCCACTGCTCTCTCCATCTGCCACTCCACACACCGGCTCCCTTGCTCAGCAGGCTTCTGCTCAGGTGTCTTCTGGAGACTCCTCTGTCACATCACTCTTCTACTGGACTCATCACAATCAGTAAGTACTAGGCAACCCTCCACGCCTCACCCCCACCTGAAACGTCAACTCCCGGAGGCAAAGCCTGTCTTGTACCCATATCTACCTGAATCTGCAGGGGCCACAGTGCCCAACACAAGGTGGGTGGCCAGTGCTCGCCTGAAGGGACACAGCCCACCACACACACGGCCACAAGGTCCCTGGCAGGTTCTGGGAGCATGACAAGCGTCCAGAGAGCCTGCACGGAGGCTGAAACCCCACCGATTAGACGCCCACTATGGCCCAGGGCCACGTGCACCTCCTGTGCACTTGAAATGTGGCTGGTCCAAAGTGAGATGCGCTCTAGGTGTAACAGATACACAAGATTTCCAAGACTTGGTACAAAAATATATGTAAAACATCTCATTCATGATTTATTGATTCCATATTGAAATTATTGCATCTTGGACATTCTGAGTTAAAGGAACTAGATTAAAATTAACTTCACCTGTTTCCTGTTGCTTTTGAGCGTGGCTGCTAGGAAGTTTTCATGACGTACAGAGCTTGGCACTATACGTCTGAGTCCACCCGGGTTATAATAATGCCATGGAAAGGGAAGCCAGTGACACAGGCCAGCCCTGACCACCTCTCTAGGCTACTGCCTAATACTCTCCAGAGGCAGGCAGGAAACACCCGTCCCATGGCTTCCTGTGACACACAAAGACCTAAGTGTGTTCCGAAAGACGGCTCAGAAATCAAGGCTGAAAAGAGTTAAGAGATGAAACAATTGTGCCCTCAGAAGGGGAGCACCGCCAGAACAGGGGCCAGCATCGAACAGGCCTACAGATATGTGTTGAATGAATAAACCAGTACTTTGCAAAAACAAAAACAAAAACAAAAAAAACCACGATTTCTAAGTTGTTTGTTCATATTTGGGATAGAATACGAGAGCTGGAGGGGACCTGGAAAATGACCTGGCTCTGCCATGTCGCTGAACTGTGAGGACGCTGTGCTTCCGTGTCCTCTCCTGGAGAAGAGGTGGTCCCTGCCGGTCCCTACCTGCTAGGCCCACGCCGTCCAGTAGAACTTTCTATGATGATGGGAGTCTTCTCTGATCTGTCCAATACAGTGCCTACTGGGCCCTTGAAACGTGGCTACTGTGACTGAGGAAGTGAAATTTAATCTTATTTAATTGTAATTAATTTAAGTTTAAATTCAAATAGCCACATGTGGCAAAAGGCTGCCATCCTGGACAGCACAGCTCTGGCCTGCTGTGACAAGCAGGAACGAGATAAAGCTTGTAAAAGCACTTTGGAAATGCCAAATCCTGACAGAAATGGTAGGGGTTTTGTTGTTGGATGTATTACAAATGCGAGATTCTGAGAGATTTCAATTGCCCAACGAAGAGACTTGATTCATCGTAAGTGAAAAAAATTTAAACACACAGATTGTGCTTCACCTGGGGGAGAAGTGTTCATAGACACCTGGGATCAGAACAGAGCAAGAACGCTTCACACACAGCTCAGAAAACTAGCTTCAACCCTCTGGGCCACAGTACCTCCAGGGCCTGGACATGCAGGCAGAAATCAAGGTTGCATTCCTATCTCCCACTCCCTCACACTAGAGACCAGCGGTGTCCTGCCCCTTCCGCTGACCTTCCCTGCCATTCCTCCTGCTACAGGAACGGGTCCTCCCACAGCTCTCAGACAGAAGCGGGGGTTGTTCAAATCTGATGGATGGTAAAACCAACCGGTGCTGAAAAGGGATGCGGACTAAGTGGGAGCTGTGAAGAATGCTAATCTGTTTACACTCAGGTTGGAAGATGCTCAGGAAATTCAAATTAAGTTCTCGGCTCCCAAGATTCTTCCCAGCAGGAAAGCCCTTCCCAGTCTAAACAGCTTTTCGGTACCATTAAGATCATCATATTCTACGCACTAGCAGACAATAAAGAAAAAAAAAAGCAGGGGAGTGGAAGGCGGGGGTGAATGATTAGGGCCGGAAAGTCAAACAAGTCTAAGTCTTTCTGAGGAAACACACAATATTTCCAAGTACCAGTGTAAGGAGCTGCCCTAAAATATTTAAAAGATTTTGTGAGCTCATTCATTCTTGTCCATTAAAGAGCAGAGCTACTTTTCCCCTCAGTCCTTTTCCACAGACACATTAACTTTAGGGCTTAAGCGTGTGTAACGCCCTTGGTTTGGGCCCCTCGGAGCTTCCATGATGAAAACCACGTGAAACTGGATCCACACGTGTTCCACCCACAAGCTGTCCTCAGTGGTGTAATTTATTCTGTCAGGCAGCAGGCTGTTGCTCAACTTCGAGGAGGGAATGCCAGCAACTACCCTCCAGCTATTAAAACAAAATGAACCCGCCTGGTGTCAGCGGGACAGACGCCACTTCACTGAGAAAAGAGACCCAGCTTTCCGTACCTCAAGTTCAGTCTCCCGTCTGTTGATATCATCCGTGGATTGATTTAACTTCTCCAGTTCTCCCTGATGAAGAAAAGGGACAGGAAAAAGATTCAGGGATTTGTCTTTTGTTGCCAGTATGACTCAGCCCCAGTACCTTGCAAATTACTCTGGCACACTTTGTAGGAAGAGGAAGGAGTCAGTGGTAATTCTCAAGGAAAACAGTTGAGCCTTGGCTGGCAGAACAAATGAATGTCAGCATTTCTGAAACCTTTTTCTTGATGGTGGCCTTTTTGAAAATGACTTTAAGGTCCTAGGAATTTGTCTTTTCTTAGAAGGTCAATTATTTATTCCACGTATGTGCCTTCAGGTAAACCCACCTGTTACAAATGGTTTAGAGGCTGAATCAAAACAATGCTTTCTGCTTTAGAGCAAGGATTTTGCAGAAAAGATAATAAAAGAAAACAAAGCCAAGCCTAAAGTATAAACCCAATGAAATAATTTAAATCAAGGGTACAATTCTGGCATTATCTCATCCATGGTTGAGTATTTTTCTGTAGGAATGAAAAGTCCTTTTCAAACCGCCAGTTATTCAACCTACCTGGCTGTTTTACAAAACAAACAACTAAAACTAGCTTTAATCCCGATCCTTTAAATAAACATTCACACACTGACATTTTGTAAAAAAAAAAAAAAAAAGTGCCCAGCGTGAAGTTAATTCATTTTACTCAGCAAACAAAGGACCTTGTGAACAGAATTCCCCTACCAAGAAAACAAAATTGAGTAGCCCGAACCGATTTTATTTAATAGAATTCCTAATGCAAAGATTCTTCCACCTGATTTTTATCTTGCTAACCTGCCATAACAATTCATTTAAATGCAACAGTTGAGTTAAATGAGCTTTTAATTGATCTGCGCGCTGAAAAACCAATTAAGTCTCCAGAAACTGCAGCGCGTGCTGAAAAGCAATATTAAAAAAAAAAAAAAAAAAAAGCTTTATGGAAAGGGTAGAGACACGGGTCTTCGAAAGCGATGTGCTGTGCTTTTTGCTTGGAGGGTGAAGAGGTTAAGCTGTCACTCCGAGATCTCGGCTTGGAAATCGTTTTTAATCATCTCCCAGAGCAATGGAGGCACAGGAACCGGGCCAACCCTCTTGCCTTCTCGCGCGTCAGCTATGCGCACCGCTTGTCCCAGATTTCTGTTCACACCCGACCTCATAAGGAGGGAAAGCTGGGTTTTAAACCGTTTGAGGCCAAGAGGAGAGCTGAGCCAGTGGTGACAATAAGCCCTTCGGTTTGCTAACAATGAATCAGAGAAGGGAGATGGCTCAGGCCGGGCACCTCTGCTAGCAGGAGGCTCCGACCCCCAGGCACGGGTGGCCGCCTACCTGCAGGGGCCGACGACGCCCCGGGACGCCCTAAGCGGCCGGCCAGGCTCCCGGAGCCCGGAGGCTGTGCAAAGCCCGCGGCGCTACGAGCCCGGCCGGGTACCCAGACGCCGGCGTGGCGCCCCCGCCCCCTTTCCTCTTTGTTGCGCAACCGCCCGCAGCGCTGCACACGCTGCTGCGACCCCCGGATCCTGCCGGGGAATCCCGGCGGTAGAGTCAGGCTGCGTCCACTCGGGCACCGCAGCCTCCCAGGAACCGGGGAAAACCGGGTACTCAGACCCTCTCCTCGGGCCCCGGACTTAACGCTGCCACATCCCCCGGGCGCAGGCACCGGTGGGGGGGTTGGGGGAGGCGGCTGCGAGGCGGGCTCAGTGCAGATGCCGGGGTCCTTGTGCACCCCCGCGCGCCCTACCTGGATCCGGGGGTCCACCTCTTCCTCCTCCTCCAGCCCCGGCTCCATCCCCTCCTCCTCCTCCTCCGAGTCCCGGGCTGGCGGCGGCAGCTCGGCCGGCTCCTCCGGACGGCTCCGCTTCGGCGCCGCGTCCATGCGGGCGGCGGACTTGGGAGCGCGGGGGTGGCGGCCGCAGACTGGGCCGGAGCCGTCTGGCCACCGCCCGGCGAGCTCAGAAGGCGCCGCTCACCGCCGCGGGTTCCCGGGCCCAGCTCAGGAGGAAGTGGGCGCGGTCGCCCCCTCTCCGCCGCGGCAGTCAGCGCAGCGCCGCCCGCTCCGCCCCCAGCCCGCCGGCTCTGCGCGGCCCCGACTCTAGACCTGGCCGGCCGGCTGGCCGGCCGGGATAGCCGGGACTCCGTCACAAAACCTCACTCCCGGAACGCGTGAGGGTGGTGAAATGGGGGAGCCTTCAGCCCCTTTTACCATAGCAGCCCGACTAGATCACAATTTACCCAACGTCGGCCGCCTGGTGTCAGGGTGCTTTTCTCTCCCTCCCTCCTCTGCTAAGGCGATTGACTGCATGCAAGGAAAGTTTGGGGTATTCCCACCATCTGGCACCTTTAGAAGCTTGTACTCAGTGACCTTAGACCAGTCCCAAGACTCACTCAAACCACTGTGTACACTCAAAGCACTTTTGTCCCCTTGGGTTAACCTGGGGAAATGTGTGTACCTGAAGATTTCCCCAGAAAAGGGAACTGAAACATATGCTCACCTAGACACAAAAGAACAAAGAAGGGAGCCAGCTGCAGCTCCTTGCGTAGATTCCCTGCCCTAAGGCTGTGGACTGCATTGAGCAGAGCTCCATATGCAAGCTCCTGTGCTTTCACAGTTGCGGGATGGTCCTCAAGAGGCAGGAAGCATGGAAAATCCATTGATCAGGGATGTGCGTGAGTGAGTGGGTGCCTGCCAGTATACCCTTCTCAAGGAGATGCAAGTGTAATCCCTGTTCATGGGCACGTGCCATCCAAGGATTTATGAACTGGTGAGGTTTCCTGCCCACCCTGAACGAGCAGAGAGCCAGAACTTGCCTGGCAAATTCAACATCACAAAAAGCCAAAGAATAAGGGGAATGTTTGTGCTTTTATGAAATGGCAGGGCAACTGTGATGTCAGGAGAGCAGAAGGTCAGATGACCTTAGCAAAGCAGGCAAGGACATTGCCACTGGCCATTGCTAATGTCTCCTTCACTACAAAAATGCAGAGCATACACACTTTCTACACAGAAGCTTGTGGCCTGTGGGCTCTGTGAGTTCGGGGGCAGACTTGCTTGAGAAAGCAGCTTCTTTCCGAGAGCCTGTCATTAAAGCCAACCTTGGGAAATCTGCTTATGATGGTTTTATCAAAAGCTAAGTTGGGAGGGTTACTCCTTGGACAAGTTTCCACCTTACACACTCTGGCACTGTGGTCGACCATCACAGGAGCTTCCTTGTCTCCTGGAGTTAACACAGGTGTACACCATGGGTTTGGTTCTGAACAGGTCACACCTGTTCACTGTTCTTTTTTTTTTTTTTTTAAACATCTTTATTGGAGTATAACTGCTTTACGATAGTGTGTTAGTTCCTGCTTTATAACAAAGTGGCGGTACGCGGGCCTCTCACTGTTGTGGCCTCTCCCGTTGCAGAGCACAGGCTCCGGACGCGCGGGCTCAGTGGCCATGGCTCACGGGCCCAGCCGCTCCACAGCATGTGGGATCTTCCTGGACCGGGGCACGAACCTGTGTCCCCTGCATCGGCAGGCGGACTCCCAGCCACTGCGCCACCAGGGAAGCCCTGTTCACTGTTCTTTAAATCAAGTGAGAGTCAGCAATTCTTTGTGAGATGTTCTCAAATTCCCTGCTAAAGACATAGTTGCTTTTCATTTTCCAGTGATGGATGAAGGCAGGGTCAAGATGGCCATTAAGAATCACAAACTGAGACAGAGGTTGAAAACAAGTGAGGTCAGCCCTGACTCTAAATGCTTCCCAAGTGGTGGAACCTCATCATCACCATTCAAACAATAGCCTCCAAACTACATTACGGTTTAAGCTTAGATCTAAGAGCAATAGGGTGGTTCAAAATACCTTTATGGGGGGGACTTCCCTGATGGCGCAGTGGTTAAGAATCTGCCTGCCAATGCAGGGGACACGGTTTTGATCCCTGGTCCGGGAAGATCCCACATGCCAAGGAGCAACTAAGTCCGTGCACCACAACTACTGAGCCTGTGCTCTAGAGCCCGCGAGCCACAACTACTGAGTCTGCATGCTGCAACTACTGAAGCGTACATGCCTAGAGCCCATGCTCTGCAACAAGAGAAGCCCATGAACTGCAAAGAAGAGTAGCCCCTGATCGCCACAGCTAGAGAAAGCTCCCGTGCAGCAACGAAGACCCAACACAGCCAATAATAATAATAATAATAATAAATAAAATGTAGTCTCTTTAAAAAAAAAAATGCCGGGCTTCCCTTGTGGCTCAGCGGTTGGGAGTCCGCCTGCCGATGCAGGGGACACGGGTTCGTGCCCTGGTCCAGGAAGATCCCACATGCCGCGGAGCGGCTGGGCCCGTGAGCCATGGCCGCTGAGCCTGCGCATCTGGAGCCTGTGCTCCTCAACGGGAGAGGCCGCAACAGTGAGAGGCCCTCATACCGAAAAAAAAAAAAAAAAAAAAAAAGCCTTTATGGGATATAGGGCAACTGCTCCTGAACACTGAACATCACTGTAGACTTTTGTTGTTTTATTTTTAGAAGAACTGGGCCAGCTATAGCATGATGTTCTAAAGTTAAAATAAGGAAAATAAATAAACCACAGCAGTACTATATATTTCTATTGACACATACATATGCACATCAATGCATAGAAAAGGGTCTGGAAGGAAGATTCATACCCAACAAAGAGTGGCTAGCCCTGGAAAAGGCAGTATGAAGGGGCCCAAGATTGGCTAGGATGGGGTTGGGCATGTCAAAGGGAACTTTTAATCTCTCGATAATGTTTTCATTTTTTACAAGGAGGATGTATTTATGATTATTTGTGTAATTCTAAAATAAATTTAAAGTAGTGCATACTGTATTAGTTTTCTATTGCTGTGAAACAACTACCACAAATTTATTGGCTTAAAACAGCACTTGTGGGGCTTCCCTGGTGGCGCAGTGGTTGGGATTCCGCCTGCCGATGCAGGGGACGCGGGTTTGTGCCCCGGTCTGGGAAGATCCCACGTGCCGCGGAGCGGCTGGGGCCCTGAGCCATGGCCGCTGAGCCTGCGCGTCCGGAGCCTGTGCTCTGCAATGGGAGAGGCCGCGACAGTGAGAGGCCC